GAACCCCCATGGACAGAAGAGCCTGGTGGGCTACAGTCCATAGGGTCGCAAAGCGCAGCACACAGCCGGTTATCCAGAAGAATTTGTAATTAGGCAAGGATATTAATTACATGTGTGAAGCACCATTATGAACTAAGTTTAAAAGTATCTGTATGTTACTTAAAATTTTTTATACATGTACAAAAGGGCTCAAATTAAAAATTTGAAACCTTGAGAAAATTGTTTTTAAATCTTTGTAGGTGTTCCTAATGAATCTGCAATTAGTTTTTTCTTCAAAAGTGAACTGATAACCTACTTTTTCTCCCCCTCAATATATTGTGGAGATTATTTTATAGCAAGATACATGGAGCACTGCACTATGTTTGGGCTTTGCAGGTCACCCTGGTGGTAAAGAAACCGCCTGCCAATACAGGAGATATAAGAGACTGGAGAGACAAGGCCGCTAGGCTCTCGATCCCCTGGAGGAGGGCATGGCCACACACTCCCGTATTCTTGCGTGGAAAATCCCATAGACGAGTCTGCGGGCTATTCCATGTCGCAAAGAGTCAGATACGGCACACGTTATGTTTAATGTATGTAATATATGGCTGTAATGTAATTTAACCAATGACCTAATAATAGGCATTTAAGTTAATTCCACTTTTGGTAATAAATTTACTGTTCTCGCATTTATTTCCTAGGGTGGTGATTATTTATTAAATGAGAATAAGCATCTTCCTGCAATGTGGGAGACCTGGGTTCAATCCCTGGGTTGGGAAGATCCCCTGGAGAAGGAAATGGCAACCCACTCCAGTATTCTTGCCTGGAAAATCCCATGGACAGAGGAGCCTGGTGGGCTACAGTCCATGGGGTAGCAAGGAGTCGGACACGACTGAGCAACTTCAAATGAGAATTAGAGATAAATCTGGGCCTCCCTAGTAAGCCCAGTGGTAAAGAATCTGACTGCCAGTGCAGGCGACAGGGAAATGGCAATCCACTCCAGTATTCTTGCCTAGAAAATCCCATGGACAGAGGAGCTTGGCTGGCTGCAGTCCATGGGGTCACAAAAGTGACTAAAAAAAAAAAAAAAACAAAAAAACCCAAATAACTAAGAGATAAATCTACTTTCTAGAAGTGTAGTGTAGTAGAAAATAGTTTATTTAGGAGGTAGAAGCCTTCTTTGAATCTTGCTCATTAACTAAATAGCTATTTGATCTCTCCCAAATTTAATCTAAAGTCTCTTGTAGTATCTATAAAATAGAGATAATTTTGTTAAGAAGAATTGAGATAATTTAAAAGTTCTTAGTAAGTTGTGTAAGGAAAATGCCAAGATGCAAAATAATATCTTTACCGAAGAGCACATTATAATGTAGGTACAGAATGAGTTTGCAAATGTGAATTCCAGTTTTGGTCAGACTTCCTTAGTCCCAGTCCTGTTGAATTATCTATAGAATTATCACAATCTATAAATTATCCAAAACCTAAGATCTCCAAACCTCATATATAGACTGCATAACTAAAATGTACACAAATGCTATTTAATTAATTAACTTAAAAGCATTATTTAATCTCTAGAAGATATTTGTTATGTATTTTCCTAAGTACTAAAAGAATATGTCAGATGGTGTTTTATGAATTCTTTATAATCATGGAAGATTTTATAGACTTTATACTTGAAGAATTAAATAATGGAGTTATATTGTGTGTTTAACTTCACTTGCATAAGCTGTTAGTCTTCTACACAATGTGTAAATATCAGATACAATCAAAGCCGGTGGTATAATGTAAAAACAGCAGTCTGGTGTCTTTGAGGCCTGGGTTCGGATAATTCAGCAGTTTCTTTTTCTTCTTTTTTTTTTAACATTTGTAGTTTTTTTTTTTTTTTTAATATGTATTTATTTGGCTGCACTAGGTCTTAGTTGCATCATGTGGGGTCTTTAATTGCTACATGCAATTTCTTAGTTGTGGCATGTGGGATCTAGTTCCCTGACTAGGGATTGAACCCAGGCCGCCTGCATTGGGAGTCTTAGCCATTGGGAGTGGAGTCTTAGCCACTGGGCCATCAGGAAAGTCCCCAAAATTCAGCGGTTTAAATCTATTGAGGCACTTATTTTGGCTAGGTAGCAGGTAATAAAACAATGCACACAGCATTTTACTTGCCTTGAGAGAGGCATTTCAGCTGGCCTATGAAATGTGGGTAGGATTTGAGAAATTAGAGGCCTTAGAGAAGATTTAATAAATGCATGGAAATAGGCCTAGAGTAGAACAGGGCCTGCCATTACCAAGGTTAAAATCCCTGGTCAGGGAACTAGATGCCACATGCCACAACTAAGAGTTCGAATGCAGCAATTAAAGAGCCCATATGCTGCAGCTAAGACCCAGCACAGCCAAATAGATAATTAAAAAAAATTGTTTTTGAGGATTTCAAATCTTATTAAAAAAAAAAAAGGCAGACCACCAAGAGTAACTAAAGAGTCTCTTGATGAGGGTGGAAGAGGAGAGTGCAAAAGCTGGCTTAAAACTCAACATTCAAAATACTAATATCATAGCCTTCGGTCCTATCACTTCATGGCAAATAGATAGGGAAAAAGTAGAAAGAGTGACAGATTTAATTTTTTTGGGCTCCAAAATCACTGCAGATGGTAACTTCAGCCACAAAATTAAAAGATGCTTACTCCTCAGACGAACTATGACAAACCTAGTTGTTCAGTTGCTAAGTGGTGTCTGATTGCAATTCCATGGACAGCAGTACGCCAGGCTTCCCTGTCCTGTCTCCTGGAGTTTGCTCAAACTCATGTCCATTGAGTCGGTGATGCCATCCAATCATCTCATACTCTGTTGACCACTTCTCCTTCTGCCCTCAGTCTTTCCCAGCATCAGGGTCTTTTCCAATATGTCCACTCTTCACATGGCCAAGGTATTGGAGCTTCAGCATCAGTCCTTCCAATGAATTTTCAGGGTTGACTTCCTTTAGAATTGACTGGTTTGATCTTACAGTCAAAGGGACTCTCAGCAGTCTTCTTCAGCACCACAATTTAAAAGCATCAATTCCTCAGCCTTCTTTATGGTCCAGCTCTCACATGCATGTATGACTAGTGGAAAAACCATAGTTTTTACTATATGGACCTTTGTCGGCAAAGTGACGTCTCTGCTTTTTAAATACACTGTATAGATTTGTCATAGATTTTCTTCCAAGGAACAAGCACCTTTTAATTTCATGGCTTCATTGTCTGAAGAAGCAGAGACATCACTTTGCTGACAAAGGTCTGTATGGTTAAAGCTATGGGTTTTCCAGTAGTCATGTACACATGTGAGGGTTGGACCATAAGGAATGGTGAGTGCTGGGGAAGACTCTTGAGAGTCCCTTGGACAGCAAGGAGGTCAAACCAGTGAATCCTAAAGGAAATCAACCCTGAAATATTCATTGGAAGGACTGATACTGAAGCTGAAGCTACAATACTTTGGCCCCCTGATTCAAAGAGCTGACTCAGCATCATTTCTCACTGATGCTGGGCTTAGCCAGCAGGAGGAAGGCAGAAGGAGAAGGGGGCAACAGAGCATGAGATGGTAGGATGGCATCAGTGACTCAACAGACATGAGTTTGAGCAAACTCTGGGAGAGAGTGAAGGACTGGCAAGCCTAGCATGCTTCACTCTGTGGGATTGGAAAGAGTTGGACACGACTTAGTGACTGAACAACAAGAGCAGGACCTGAGTTTTGGATGTTAAGCAATTCTTGTTGGTTAGAGTAGGAAATGTATAGTAGCGAGTAAAGCTGGTAAAACAGAATGGGTCAGTATCAAGCATGACTTGAAAATAAAGTATAGGAGTTTGGGTTGAATTACTGAGTTTTATGGGGCTTCCCAGATGGCACTAGTGGTAAAGAACCCATCTGCCAGTGCAGGAGACATAGAGACCCGGTTTGGATCCCTGGATTGGGAAGAGCGCCTGGAGGAGGGCATGGCAACTCACTCCAGTCTTCTTGCCTAGAGAATCCAGTGAACAGAGAAGTCTGGTGGACTACAGTACATAGAGTCACAAAGAGTCCTACACAACTGAAGCAACTTAGCATGCATGCAGGCATTGAACTTTATCATAAGCTGCTCAAGATTTGTGATTAATGATGTAATTGGAGCTATGGTTTCAAGAAGATGATGGTGTTAATTGTATTATTACTAACAAATATTACTTTAGGAAGTCTTACTGACTTTTCAGGCCTTCTCAGATTGAATATCTTTTTTACTCTAAGAATTTTCTTTGAATTCTATGACATGATTATAGACTCTTCTTCCTTTTGAGAGAATCAGATATGAGATACTAATGCCTTAAAGAAATTAGGGGCTGCTCCTTTTAACTTCCTCATACTTTCATAAGAATTTACTTTTGGCCTCTTCTCAATAGCAGAATTAAAAAAAAAATTTTATAGTGTGGCTGAGTTTATTTTAAAAGTTCTTTTCATGTACATCCTTGATAGTATTAAATATTTTCAAAGCTATTTTTTATTGAAGTGTAGTTGATTTATGTAGTAATAAATATTTTTGAAAGGAAACTATAAATCTGTTCTTGCTATCTCAGATGTACGGTACATGGAAAGAAGGTTATGGGTTTGCAAGGCTTCCTTCCAACTCCAGAAGTCTATAATTCAGATTTTTTTTTGCATCTTATTTATTTAACTAGCTCATCAAATCAGTTTTTAACATTTGGTTTTAAAATAAATCTTACCTAATGCCTCAACTTGTTTTTAGAAAAAGGTAAGGGATTATTATAGGCAGTTTCTATCTTATGTTTAATACTGATAATGGGTTATTTACCTAATGCCATTCTTTGGGAATTTGGGAATGGCCTTAAAGGGATTTTCCTGTTCCTGAATTGGTTATCTTCATGTGTCTCGCTATATCTAAATATCAGTATATTTTCACTGTTGAATTTGCTTAGAGGAATATTTGTAGTAGTTTTTTTTTGGAAAATGGAAGCTTGAACCATGATCCATTTAAGCTAATACTATTTCTTTTGTCTGAATAGTTGGAACAGATAATGGGAAAGAAGCCATTGAAAGTGCAGCCGCATTTCTCTTCAAGACATTTCACTTGAAGGACTGTGTTGGTCACCAGGAGACAAAGGCTATCAAGCAGATGTTTGGTCCCTTTCCATCATCATCTGCCACTGCAGCTTGTGATGCTACTAATCGAATTACTTCTTATTTTTGTAAAGACAGTCTTACTGCTCTTGTCCAGATGACAAGTGATGAATATGGTGATCGAGTTTTATTTGGTAAAAATTTAGCATTTTCATTTGACATGCATGATTTGGACCACTTTGATGAACTGCCAATAAATGGTGAATCCCAGAAAACTATAAGCTTGGATTATAAGAAGTTTCTGACTGACCACCTTCAGGAGCATTCCACCCTGAACCGCAAGCCTGCAGAAAAAACAAACGACTCGTTTTTGTGGTGTGAAGTTGAGAAGTATTTAAACGCAACTTTAAATGAAATGGCTGAAGCAACAAGAATAGAAGATCTTTGCTGTACTTTATATGATATGCTTGCTTCTGTTAAAAGTGGTGATGAACTTCAGGATGAGGTACAGTTGAAGTTATTGCAGTTTTATCTTAATGTGCATTATCTTAATGGAATAGCCTTTTAAAATATGAGTGTCTAGCAAAGAAATTACTTCTTTAATATTGTGCTGCAGAGATCAAATATGTAGCCAGACGGTTTTACATGATAGGCGTGCATATTTCTCCACTGTGTTGTAGGAGGACTGTGAGGGTAATGAATAGGGAAATAGTGAGGGTGTCCACATGTCCTGGTTACTGGGACAGTTCTGGTTAAACCTGTTGTTACATTGAAATAATTAGAAGTGTACCTTCTTCAAAAAGTATATAGGTTTGAATGATAAATTGCTTGGTTAATCTAGTAATATCTCATGAAAATAAGTTTCAAAACAGAAATTTTATCTGTCTGTTGAATGACTTACTGATTTAAAAAATATTTTTGGCTAGTTTCTATGATTGAAAGAATAAACTTTCAAAAACAAACTGATCTGGAAATAATTGGACTATTTTATATTACTTGTTCAATAAAGAATTCTGTATTTGTAAGTTTTTTATATCACACAAAGGAAACATTATTTTAATTCCTTTCTATGCCACCGTTTGGTGATGTTACTCAAAAAATGGTGAATTACTCTTACTGTCACATGAAAAGTTTATCTTGAAGGGTTTCGGTTACTTTCAGTCATGGCATTATATTCATTTTCTGATATAAATGTCAAATAATGTCAACCCAGTTTTAATACTGGATGAGTAATATATTTGATGAAGATGAAGAGAGGTGGCATATTGTTGTATTAATAGAAAGGGCAGAGGCTTTGAAATCAGAAGTCCTTCCTTTCCCACTTATTGGTGGTAAGACTTTAGGTAGTTGAATCTCCTGGAGCTTGTTTTCTAGTTGGACTATCTCAGGATAAAAAGAATACATTGATTATGGAGTTGGTATAAGTCTTAAATGGGATACCATAGGTGAAATGATAAGTAGCATTTGGTAAATAATCACTGCATGGTAGCTGTGATTATTTTTGTTGTTGTTATTGAAATTAAGAATTTTAAAATCACACAGAGTATCAGAAATGTAGAAAAAAATCTCGGTAGTATTTTTTTTTTCCAGAAGGGGAAGAAAAATTTAGGGAATAGGAGAAATAGGTATTGGAGGATTAAACCCATGGTAGTTAGGTATTATACTCATTAACTGTAGTTTCAAAGTAAGTTAACATGCTGTTAGTTCTTTGATCAGTCTCGCTTACCTTTAATGTTTTACACTTAGTTTATCAGATATGGTCCACATTCATAAGTGGTTCTCTCTGACATTCTGAAAGGTAATATTGTTCTAAAAATTGTGATTTATAAAGAAAACTTTACTATTTGCTTGTTGTAATTGAATACATAGTTTTGCTGTGATTATTGTAAGCTGAAACTTACAAACATCAAACTAATGGAAATTTTGTCTGAGTGAGCCATAAAGCTATTCTTTTTATTTTAGAGTATCTAGAGTGAAGTTTGCATTTCTTAGGGTTTCACCACAGTTCTTCAGTACATAACTGAAACTGGTTGTTGGAAGAACATTTTCTTATTCTCAAGATCATTTTCATAATGTACCTAACTGCAGGATCAGAGTGAATTCATGCTTTCATCCCTTCATCATATGTTGTAGCACTAGGTACAGTGCTCCTTACTGAACATAAAAGGATGAATAAGACAGCAACCTTGCTGTTAGGGAGTTTGTTGTTTAGTCGGAGGAGGCATGCCAATAAGTAAGTGCACCCAGATACCTAGGTATGATGATACTATATACAAAGAAAAATGGGGCATAGAAGAGTTAGTCATAAATTTTGTAGGGGAGTTAGAATGGTAGGAAAAGTATTCACAGAGGAGGGTGAGCATGAGCCAAACCTTAAAATACAACTAGATTTAACTTCTTCAAGTGGATCAGAAAGGTAAGGAACATATTTTAAGTGTGAGAAAAAGCAAGGTGTGTGTTGAGGGCTGTAGTCTCTACAGTGAAGATGCAAGATATGCAAAGAGACAAGGATGAGCAGGGAGGTAAGGGCCAAATAAGGGGAAGCCTTATACACCTTGTTCAGGTATATTGTAAGCCACTCTAAAACCTGTAGATACACCCTGCATGATCTTGTTTAATGATTTTCAACCAGGATTTTATGGACAATTTAACATGTAAGTGAATATTTCATGTACTGCTAGTGGCTTGAGTAATAAGAGTTTTAAATGGTTCATCTTTCAGAGTTTTGGTTTTTTAATAAGTGAATAAAAATAAACAATCATTATGATAGTTTTTTGTTTGTTTTACAGTATAGTCATATTTACTAGAGCCCTTTCTTTATGATTACATTGTTTTGATAGCAAATTTTCATTATAATTTTGAAGAATAATAGAATGTTTCAATATAGTTATTCTTCATTGCTTTTTTCACTTTTGGGTGTGATGTATATCTTATGTATTATCTATTTACTTTTAAATTCCTGCTTAAGCTTTAGAAGAGTCTAAAGGAGTAATCAGTTTATGTGATAGAATAAATTCCATTTTTTAGTTAATTTCTATTTGAGTTAATTTACAATTTCTTAGTTGAGTCTGTGCAATAGTGATGTTTAAATAACCATGTTTTGTGTTGCTCCAGAAATTTAGCAGAATCATAGAAATCTGTTTTTGCATGTAATCTTAAATATACAAAAACTATGAGTAATACTGAAGGTATTTTTGGTCCTCACCATATGATTTCCCATTTTCAAATTTAGTTTATTGACCTAATGACTGATGATAAAGCTGTTTGTGAGGACTGGCTATTTAAATCTTTTTCCCAAAGACCTTTATGTCGTTAACTAGTGTTACAAGTATGAGAAAAAGTGTATGCATATGATGACATTCACCACAGACATGGTGCAAAAGAGGTTCTAGTCTGAAACATGTGGAGAGAAATAATTCTAATAGCAATAGTAATAAATAGCTACATTTGAGTGCCTACTGTATTAAGTAAGGCATTATGTTAAGTCTTTTCTGTGCATCACTTCATTTAATCCCTAACAATAATGCTTTGAGGTAGGCAACACTGGATTCAGTTCAGTTCAGTACAGTCGCTCAGTTATGTCCAACTCTTTGCAGCCTCATGAACTGCAGTACGCCAGGCCTCCCTGTCCATTACCAACTCCCGGGGTTTACCCAAACTCATGTCCATTGAGTCGGTGATGCCATCCAACCGTCTCATCCTCTGTTGTCCCCTTCTCCTCCTGCCTTCAGTCTTTCCCAACATCAAAGTCTTTTCAAATGAATCAGCTTTTCACATGATTCATGGCCAAAATATTGGAGTTTCAGCTTCCACATCAGTCCTTCCAATGAACACCCAGGACTGATTTCCTTTAGGATGGACTGGTTGGATCTCCTTGCAGTCCAAGGGACTCTCAAGAGTCTTCTCCAACACCACAGTTCAAAAGCATCAATTCCTCGGCGTTCAGCTTTCTTTATTGTCCAACTCTCACATCCATGCATGACTACTGGAAAAACTATAGCCTTGACTAGACGGACCTTTGTTGGCAAAGTAATGTCTTTGCTTTTTAATATGCTGTCTAGGTTGGTCATAACTTTCCTTCCAAGGAGTAAGCATCTTTTAATTTCATGGTTGCAATCACCATCTGCAGTGATTTTGGAGCCCCCAAAAATAAAATCAGCCACTGTTTCCCCATCTATTTGCTATGAAGTGATGGGACCAGATGCCATGATCTTAGTTTTCTGAATGTTGAGCTTTAAGCCAACTATTTCACTCTCCTCTTTCACTTTCATCAAGAGGCTCTTTAGTTCTTCTTTACTTTCTGCCATAAGGGTGATGTCCTCTGCATATCTGAGGTTACTGATATGCTGAATTAAAAGCTGTTAGAGACCTTAAGCACTGAAAATGTTAAATGCTGAGGTATTTCTTCTCCCCTTCCATAGATTTTTTTAAAAACTTAAAAGCATGCTACAGCAAATATAAGAAAGTCTAATAAAATGTTATTTTATTTTTACCATTGTGGCTGAATTGATGTCTTTTTCAAACATCAAATTCTTTAAAAAAAAAAAAAGTTTTTCTCATTTTTTGGTACCCGTGTTTTGCTGGTACTTGAAGGAAATGTTTTGGTGGCTTCATGGATTATTGCTCACTGGAGATACGTGTTTTATAGAGGTGCTGGGAAATTTGTCCAAGGTTGCAGGATAAATAGTGAATCCAGAGTTTAAACTCAGACATCCCTGACTCTAGTGTGTGCTTTCTTTGCCAAGAAATAGTTCTGTACATTTCCTTAGGTTTGATGCTTTGAAACATCAAGCAGTTTAAGTATGGTTAGGATTCTTTGGCATTTACTCTAATTTATAGTTTCTTCAGAAACAATATCTGTTCCTTATAGAGAATTCCAAATATGGAATTGGCTAAAATAAGAGAAAGGATGAAATCTTGAAAACTTGTTAAAGATGAGTTTTAAAACTTTTGTGGGGAATTGCATTTAAAGTAATTCTGTGTTTCTGTGAGTGTTGAACTAGTAAAACAGCCAACTTAGATTTCTGAGTTCTATCTTTTTTTCCTTTCCTACTTTGCATCTTTAAGTTTAAACTCTGACTCCCGGTAATTTCTCTGTTAAGGCCGTAGTTACTGTGATTAAGCCTAAGAATTTGTTTGGGCTAGACTCTTTAGTTTTTATACTCTTGAGACTTACTTACTTCTAAAAATACTTACTAAAGTTGGTACATTTTAACTACCCAGAAGAAGATAAGATATAAACATTTCAGATTACTTTCTTAATCAGGACTCATCCATGGTTGGTACAGACATCTTCTTGGCTGCTGATTTTCTGTAACCAGAATTGTAGCAATAGGTTTAGTCCTAACAGGATCACATAGTCAGTGAACTTTCAACAGAAACTTTTCCCCAAGAAAGTAGTAGTTTTAATAACAGCAAAACTCCCATGTTTTGAATGCCTGTTATATATAGAGTTAGACCAATCTGTCTCCTTTGATATAACCAGTTTCTTCATAGTTCTGCAAG